GAGATATTTTATTAGTTTTTTAACATTCCATATGCAAACATTTAAAAAAAATTTCCTACAATCCAATATTATTGAAGGTATTATCGATAGTCGATTATTTATATTTCGGAGCCAATGTTCAGCCAACGAACCCCAAAAACAAAGCGACAACGCGACGTGCAAAGTGCGAAAACGAACAACGAACAAATTGTAACTCAAACGGAGGTCGACGAGGGTGCGATTGTGCGCAGTGGGAGGCGACGGGGAGCGGTACGGGCGAAGGGGTGGGGGTAAACAAATGCAAATGCCGAGATACAGATACAAACGGACACAGATACAATCAAATACATACGTCAATTGCTTCGCTGCTTCGTCAGTGCGGCTAAAAATGAAAAATTGCTTTTCAAAATTAAATCAACATTTAATTTTCTCGTAATTTGCTGCCTGCCTGCTCAGCCGCAAAAGGAAAAGGGGAGAGGCGTTGGGCGGTGGGCGGTGGTCCGCATTTTTCTACAAATTAATTTTAGCACAAAGATTGCCAGATACAGAGAAATGTACCTCAGCCACCAGATACAAGACATCAGTGCACGGCTATAGATACGATATACAGATACAGATACATCTATAAGGCCTGTCTGTCTTCCACAGATACATCGTATTGGTTAGCCATTAAATGACGCCAGCAACAACAAAACTACAAATCGTTTGGCAGCCAAGTGCCAAATAAAAACTTATTACTTATACGCCTCGTATGCCAGTTCCGAGCAAAAGCACCCGGCGCATGAATCTATTATGAATTAGACTTTGAATGCCAAAGCACACTCGCAAACACACACTCGCACACTTGCACACACATACACACACAGCGAATGGGCATAAATAAATATTTTGTAGCTCGTTTAAATATTCACCCTGGAGGGCAATTTTTCGTAAAGATTTTTCGGTTCGATTCGAATCGTATTTGCCGCAGATTTAGTTGAGTTCTCTCGCCGGGAGAATGAGTGGAAAATGTGTTTAGATGAGTGCAATAATGTAGAACAAGGTCCACAAATAAACAATTGAAGATTATTGAATACCAGTTGCGATGTGAGGGGGACTTAGCTTAAGGAAACTCGTGTAGCAATCAATGAATAAATTAGTAAGGGTGGCGAAGTGGTTGGATTACCAAGGGGACTTAAGTAAAGTAGGTCTTGAGCTCGTTTTCAAATTTAAGAATACCAATTAAAAGTTTTCCATTAAATAATTGTATTTTTTGTGAAAAAAATTTGCCTCATCAATAATAAAAAAAAATGAAATACATTTTTTATTTCTCGTGTATCTTATATGACAATATAAAATTTAATCCCTCTTTCAGCAAAACAATTATTTTTTTTAATAGTTAACAATAAATTGCTTTCGCCAAATATATTTTTTTAATTTTCAGCTTCAGTAGGTCCATATTTTTAACTGAATTAATGCCCATCAATCACAGCCAAGTGCTAAGCCATAACAATTTTATATATTGACCAAAATTATCCATCAAATAAACGGATCTTCCTTCATTTTATAAGTCAGCCCCCGCATGGGAATAGCAAATGATCCATGGCATAACTCTAAATAGAACGCATTTGTCACAGAAATCAAACGAAATTTATAATATTTTTAGACCACAAAGGTGGTGGTGTCCCCCTTATTCTATCTATATCTCTTTGTCTATATCTTTATATGATTTGTTTAGGAACTGTGAAATTGTTGAGCTGCCACTTTATTAATATTGTCAAACTCACACACAGACGCAAGGGAAAATGGAAAAACCGAAAATCATTTTTAGTTCTTTATTGTCAAACAAACAAACGACAAAAAGTTCTCTTTTCGAATTGAAATATTTTGACGTGTTCCAAATAATTTTCACCGACTTGTTGTTGCCATTTATTATTAACTCGATTCTCTATCGGTGTGTTTGTGTGTTGACAAGATAGAAAAATGTGTCAGAACAACAGAGATTGTGCGTTTGCCCCGAAGGCAAAGGAAAGTTTCCATCAGATGCAGAATAATCCAATCCACAGCTTCTTGGCTTGAATGGATGAGTTTCCGATGCTAATGAGCGCGTATCTGACAGATACAATTTATAAATTTGACAAGTGCAAAAGCACGAAAAAGAATGCCAACAAAGCTCGCAGTCAGCCAAATGGAAAACGAACAATAATGCAATTTGAAGGGACGGGAGAGCGAAGAATTCCAAAGCGAAACCAGAAAAAATAACTCTGAACAACCCACAACAAGCAACAATACAAATCTCAAACAAAGCCAAATTATTTTGCATAAACGAAATTGTTGACAAATTATGATTTAGTACTGACCGCATTAACATATATACAAACACAAATACCCGGCATATCCGAATATATATACGTATTTATCTGGTCAGCAAGTTATGAGCGCCGGCCATCTGTTCATAAATTTCACGCTGCTTAATTAAAATTTTGAATATTTTATGCAGTTGGGCATGGCAGTAGCCCAAGTAGCCGAAACTAATGCCCGATAAACTGTCTGACCTTTTGACCACAACTCATTTCAATGGAAAGGCAGCTTTCGGTTTGAGTTTCGATACCCATTAATTGGTTGGAAATAAATGGCACTAGATTTTATTCGCCTAGTAAATTAATTATCACATTACGTGACTATTATTTATTATTATGTGCTTCAAAAATAGAAAATCAAATAACCATTAAGGACCAGAACAAAATAAAATATTAGAAAAAAAATTCTTGCAACTGTCATAAAAATAAATATTAGCAAAACTTTTATTTTATTTTTTTATTATTTAAAAACTAGGTATCTTCCAAGTCGATTTCCTTAACCTAGTATCTACTTAATGCCATGGGAAGCAAATATTAAAAATGCATTTGGAATAAATAAAACACATAAATCTATATGCGCAACCGTAGATATGGGATGTATATATTACTGATATGCATTTGAATGATACTCTCCAAAACAAATACGTTTAAGCTTATGCAAATCGCCTGACCGCGAGGTGTTTACATTTCACTAATCGACATCTTGAAGCTGTTATGTCGCCACCTTTTCAGCAGTTTGCTGTCCCTGCTATCCCTTAAATAATTCTATATCCGCGCTCAATTTACATTTTTTCGAAAGCCACGCTTTGCTGATAATCACCAAGCTTGCGATTAAGTATTCCAAATTAACTTTGTTGCGGTTGCTTCCGTCGTCGTGGGTTCTCATTTTGTGATAAATATTTGTTTTGGCTTTCGGCCGACGTGTGTCTTCTGTACGCCGTTTTTGCTGCCATTTGCTGTAATTGATTATACTGCCAACTTTTCGCTATTGTTTGTCTCGCACATTTGGCGGAAAATTATTACCGCCACGCGTTTAATGAATTTTATGGAGTAAAGGTAAGGTTAAGGGTGAAGTCCCACTACAGGCTTTGCATTTTAGATAACTAACAACATGCCGAATTACTAATAATTTAAATAAGAACATAAAGTAATTAAAATAATAATAATGGTAATTTAAATAATGCTTTTAAAATCAAGTATGACATTTGATATTTCACATATTTCCCGTTTTGGCAGCAATAAAATTATTTAAAAATCATTAAAGATTAATGTGATAACTTGACAATTAATAAAGTCTTTTTAATAACAACCAAACACAACTCTCCACAAAGAACGATCGGCTAGCAATCGTAGTTATCGACTCGGCACTCTGATTGATCGATTTGCCAAAGGTCTAGACCGAAATCATGGCCCGGGATGATCAATCTTCAGAGCAGCTTTCATCAATCAGCGATAGCTATTGAAATCTGGATCCGAATCGGAATACAGAATGTCAGCACTCTGTCAACGGCTTGACAGCGGGAAAAGAAGAGGTTGAGGGGAGTGGAGAATTCTGAGACTGAGACAGAAATAATGAAAGAACCGACAGTGGTTCCTTAATCTGTTTAATTTGCAGATGCAGTTGGCCAGATAAAAGGCAGGCAAATGGGCAAAAATAATAATAAAAGAGCGCATAAAACGACTGTCTCTGAAGTGAGCGCGTCTCTTGTCTTGTTGAATATAATTTATGAGTCAATTTCAGACAATTATTGTTAAATATTATTAAGCATTCGTTGGGCTGTCAAAACACGCGCTGCCATCGTTTCGAATGATTTACAGGGAATTGAAGACAATTGTCACTCCGTTGCGAGTGATGACAAATTTTAAGTGGATAATCTTCCATATTATATTGAAACTGAGACTGAGCAGTGACGTGTAGGGAACTCGAAAACAAAAAAGGGAGCCCGCGCATTGCCAGCACAAATTAATGTCAACATTGATTAAGGCTGGCAACTATGGCCCCTCGAAAACCCCCTGGTTTTCGCCCCCTTTTTTCAGCGAAACCCCTCAAAGGCATTCCGCAAATTTACACGGCCAAGCGAAAATGCGAAGACGCGTGGCTGCCAATTATGGCAAAATGAGAGGAAACACAAGGCGGATGAAGGGGGAATCCCGGGGGAGAGGGGAAGGGGGAAGGCAGCCAAAACGAGACGAAGACAGATCGCCAAGATCATTGACAATTTGTCGATTTGTCAGAAACCAGTCTTTAACGATATAAGAGAAACAAATCAAAATTTTATTATCCACATTTTGATGGGAATTTAGCTTGTAAAAGATATGAAATCTATACAAGCCAAAGCTAGCTTTTAAACAATCCTTTCTTTTTAAGTAACAAATATTCAAAATATTTTGATCTAGGTTAATAATAATTTTTTAACTACAAATTTTGAATTACGGACTGAAAATTTAAAAATTATTATTAAATGCGAATACCATTGAAATTGCTTAAGACTTACTTAAGACTTTTAAATCATAAAGTCTGACAATCATGGCTTCTTCAGAAGTATAGCATTTTTTCTTAAAATTCCCCTGAGCTCCCGCCAATAACCGCTGTTAAATAAAACAAACAAATTAAGACAATGCAACTCTCTGAGCCTCGGCTGAGATAAATATCAAAGTAAACACAGAAAACAAAATCAAAAAAGCAGCTCAGTTTGGTTCGGTTAAAATCAGCTTACTTCGGATCTGCTCAAATGTGTGAACAATATCAGCGTGCGGATCTTGCCCAGCAACCAAAACAGAGAGCCATATAAGCTGAGGGGCCTTAAAGACCAAGGAGGGGAGTACGGTGGACCCGAGAGACCTGTTTAAAAACCTGTTAATCAGCCAGAGAGCAAATCGGAGAGATATATAGCGATGGAGAGCAGAATGCAGCGGCGATTGCTGCGCTTTTGGTGCAACTCAAGAGCTGTACTTTTGCATAGTCGGTGAGAGATTGCTACAACACCCCCTACCTAAATTTCCTCTCGTACATCAGTGCTTTTCTTTATTTTTTCCCATCCAAAACTGACACGAAAAACATTTCGGGACTGACAAAACAAAAACAGCAACCGAAATGATTCCATTTCATTCGCTTGGAAAGAGAATTTCAATTCAACTACAGACCTCTACACAGCTCCTCCCTTATAATGCCCCACTTCCACGCACCACCCATGATAACCACCGAACCACCTAACCACCCAAAACACCCAACCACCCACTAGGGGGAGAATCCAATCAGCCACGCGTTGGTGATAAAATGCGTTAACAATACGTGAAAAGCTCTTTCCTAACCGTTTTCCCTTCGCCTTCCGTTTTCCGCTGCTCCCCGGTTGCTTTTCCTTTTTTCGGTTGCTTTTGCGGTATCTGACAGATTTTTGTGGGTTAGCGTAATGGGGGAAAATCAGGCAGAAGGTTTGTGGAAGCAGGCTACTAAAATCGGCAAAAGCCTCTTCTGAGGGATTGAAATTTAAGGTCAGGTTTGGGGACGATGGGGTATCAGATTTTCGGGGTGTATTACATACCACGTCACACCTGATTTTTGTGGGTAAGAAAATGGCTTTTGGGATTGTTGAGTGGATGAAATTGTCAGGAATATTTTATTACTAATACGGAATTAGCATTTGTAATGGAGTTTACAAAGAGAATTTTTAAAAGCGCGGCAAATAATTACAATATTTGAATAACGTGAATTTCAAAAGATTCTATAAACTAAACAAAATGCAAATAAATTGTTAAAATATAAAAATTTTATAATAAAAAAGTTTTTAAAGTAATATACATTATCTTAAAAAATTTGTATTTTTATTTTAAATAATTTTTTATTGTCATAAAATATATATTGAATAAATTATTTAATATTTTTACCAAATATGTCTCCAGACAAATCAATTAGGGTTTACTTTTTTTAAATGGCTTACTCCTTAAATCACATCCTCTCAGTAGAATCAATTCAATAAGCACTGCAAGTACTTTACGCAAATTGATGGGTGCACCCCTTCCCTTCGTCCTTGAATTTTATGAGCCGTATCGGATAATCTTAATTTAAATTGCTTTTCATTCACCCTTACCGCATTTTTCGGGCTTTCCACTTTCGTTGCGACCACAATTAAGCATTCAAAAAATGGTTGATCATGTTATTTAAGCCAAACACTTGTCACAATAAATCACATTTCAATCCAAATATTTGCGCAATTCCCCCAAGTCAAGGCCCCATTGAAAGTGCCCCCTTTTTCGGTGGCACCCCGCTCAACCCTCGCGGCGCATCACTCATACGCCCTGTGTACAAAAGCCGAATTGTCCACAGGCCAACCACCGGCTTGCAGCAACAATAAATACAATAAATACGGCGGAGAGCGAAGCGGAGAAACGCAAAGCAAAAGCAAAGTGAAGTAAAGCAAAGCTCAAAGCAAACAGTGCAAAGCAAAACAAACGCAGCAGCCGCAGAGCTGCCATTTGCCCATTTTGCACTCCAACCATCCCCACATCTCGGGATCCATTTTCCTCAACCACCTCGTCCACCATATCTGCCGCTCCCCCGCATTCCACGGCGGGCAGAAAATAAAAAGGAAAACACTTTCAAGCTAAATCAAATTCACAAGCAGCAAAAACTTGAAAGTGAATGAAAATCGAAGATTTTAGTACTCTTTTAAACATATTTTTTTTGGTGATAATTTTACATATTTTAAAGGTATTCAGGGGAAAACTAAATATTGTTCTCAATTATATTGAAAAAAAAAATTTCCTGGACTAAGTTGTTAAATATTGCACTTTTGTTTTGCTTAGTAACTTTACGATTAAAAAACTTTTATCTCTATAATATTCTTAGGATAACTATTAATATCCCTTTTAAAACTTTTTTAAAATACAATTGTAATTTTAATTTACATTTACATTTGGATTAAATATTTTTAAGATTTGCCAATACCCTTTTGTTCAAAAGCGTATTTGTATAACAATCAAGCGCAAACGCAGCGCAGTCGGCGAGCATGACGAAAGTCCTTTCGCACATTACCACATTTTTTTGTAGCTCTTGCCGTGCTTGTTGTTGTTGTCTCGCATATTTATATTGTTGTTGCTGCCACCCAGTGAGCCAAACAACAACGACAACAACAAACACAAAGCGAAGGCAACACGAAAGACAAAAGCTAAAAGCGACAAATGAAATAATAAGAGAGCTTAAATAACTCCACACGAGAGCGCAAACACACACACGCACGAAAGGGCGACTCCAACACACAGACACACACACCCATATACAGTCATAAAAGTTTATTGGTGGGGCTTAAGGGAGAGGCGGTGGGCGAAAGAGGAGGGGCAGGTTGTGTTTGCATGTTTGTTGTTACATTGACTTCCGATGACGGGCAGCAATCTCCCACTTTACCTCTCTCTCTTGCTCGTTGCCACTCTACCCCTCGCCACCCACCACCCACTCGGCGGCAGCGCTGCTCGCTCAGAAGCTGCGAACTTGTTTGCTCAATATGTTTCACACACAAGCACACGCACACTCACACGCCGACAAAAAGCGGAGACAACGAGCGACGATGGCCACACGAAGCTTTTACATTCCACCCCCACCTCACCCGGTCCCCACTATTTGTTACACTGCACTTACAACAGATTACCTGTAAGCTTGGGAGTTTAAGATGAAAAGGTCATATCAAGTCTGGTTAAAACTAAATATTATATTATTAGCCATTAGTCATTAATTTTTTGTTTAAATCTGGATAAGTTTTTCTCTTCTATTTAGTTTTATGGTTTCAAGGATAAGGAAATAAAAACACATAAATTTTGTCTATAACCTTACAAAAACCATTGCCTACTTTCTAGCAACAAACAGTCTCCTTGCTATTTATAATCCCGTTTACGAATATATTATTTAGCTAAAGATTGTAAAACATATCCATAAAAAATTATTACCTAAAAAAACAACTATTTACATTTCAAATTGTTTTAAGTGGACTTTCCTGCCACATTGCACGCTAAATAATGACTGACAGTATGTTGGTGCTCAACCCCCTCCCTCCTCTCTCCCACTCTCTTATTCTGTGGCTCCCACCGCTTCCCCTGCCGCTCCCACCCACCCACAGTGTGACCCCCAATTGCTCTCGCTCCCACTAAACTGGCAATCCAACAAACGCAAACAAACCGAAATCGACAAAGTGAGAGAGTAAGAGACCGAGAGAAGAGTGAGAGAGATAGAAAGAGGCCAAAAGAAAGAGACAGAGAAACACGAGTTGCCGGAGAGCAGGTTGCATCGAACTTGTTGCGTTGCGCCACCTTGCGCCCGCTGCCTCTGCCGGCGTCGCAGCCGACATCGCTGTCAGAGCTCTCGTTTTGCTCTTTGTGCTCCCAATTACTTTTTGCATGCTACCTTGTGCCCCCACTTCACCCCACACAACAACAACAACAACAACAACTAAGTGCTCGCATTGCTTTTTGTTATTACTTTTGTTGTTTTTTGCTTGGCTTTTGGTCAGCTGCTGGCTGCGACGTCGACGGCGACAGAAGCAGCGCTGTGTTGACGTATTTTTTGCAGCTCTTGCTTTTGCCGTTGGGTGTTGTTGTTTTGCTTCATGCTCTATCCGATGCGATGCTATATGCTATATATGCTTAATCCCTCGAAAACTGACGACCCGCAATCCACAATTCGAAATGTGTGAACCACTGTATAAGCGAGTGTGTCGAGTGTTTAGCTGCCAGTTTGCACTGAAAACAATAAGGAATTAAATTGATTATGCATCAATAACCATATTTAAGTCTTTCATATAATGACACTGAAAATATTAATGTAACACCTCTATACAAGTATGAAGGGAAAACATTTCTCCAAAAATATTTAAATATATAAATATTAAATATTTATTAAGCTTAGTTAAAATGGCAGAAAATAATTTCTATAAAAGTACTAATGATTTCAAAAATAGGAAAGTTTTTACAATACAGTTAATTGCCTCCAAAAGTAGGCTACCTTTTTTAAAGGTAATTTTTATTGGGATAATACATACATATATCAGCTATAAATTATATATAATTTAATAATTTCACTTTGGATCTGTCTCTAGCTATTTTTTATTTTTTAAACATATTTTTCGAATTTTTAAAATAGTTTTTTTAAACTAAATCCTGTTTTGTTCAGTGCCTGCATGAGGTTTGTGTTTCAGGCCCGATATGCTGACCCCCTCACTCGGTGGCCCCCCCTCCGCCCCCGCAATCGAGCACCGTTCGACCGCAAAGCGCTGGGGCCATGTTTTCACACAGAGCTTACACAGATAAACTCAAAAAGGGGAAAGAGAGAGAAATAGAGGGGAAGAGAGTGGCGCACACTCTCGCACAATCGCACACACATTAACATATCAAATCCAAAGGCGAAACATTCGCAGCGTTCTCATTTCGCAAATTGACTTTAATATTGTGTTGTGTTTGTTTGCCTTTGCTATTGTCTGTGCTTTTGTTTATTTCTTGCTTTTCTGCGTTTTAATTTTATACGTTAATTGTTTGCCGACAAAGAGAGTGAGAGCGAGCGACTGAAAGAGAGGGGGTGCAAATTAATTGATACGATATTATTATTTATTTTTAAATGCTAATGGGACATTTGAGGTATTTTAACATACAATTCTTGCCCCGAATTGATGGCCCATAAAAGTTATAAGAAATGCGATTTTTACGGTTGATTAATTGGCGATCATTTTTTAAAATCGATACCAAATTTCGTTCACCGATTTAAGATCGTTGATAATGTTGCAGTAACGGTATTAAAAATTACAAAAAATGTTTGATAATTGATAGGTTTGTTTTGATTCAAATTTAAAGAAGTTAGCAGTTAATTGATACTTAGTTTTAGAAATTTTTGGCATTTATTTACTGTAAAAACTATTCAAAATAAATAAATATTGGCAAACCTATTGTTGTTTTTATAAATAAAACAAAAAAACCATCACAGTTCAAA